GCGCGGGGCCGGCGGGTGTCGGGCCGGGGCCCGGGGCAGTTTTTGGGGTGCAGGGTCCTGTTGGTACCATCCTTGAGGTGCTGCAGGCACTGCACCCCACGGGCCTGCACCCCCAGCTTGCCACAGGACCTGCTGCAGGCACCCCACTCCTCAGCCACCCAGCTGGGAGGGATGGAAACGAGCGTTAGGGGAGATGGGGAGCACCATGGTCACCCCCCCACCCCACAGCCTGGGGAGGGGATGGGAGCAGATGGGTGTCCTGATCCCCCTGCAGAGCCTCAGTGCATGGATCCAGCCTGTCCAGATCCTTCTGCAGAGCTTCAGAGCCTGTCCTGATCCCTCTGCACAGCCCCAGCCCAGGGATCCAGCCTGTCCAGACCCCTTTGCAGAGCCCCAGCCCAGGGATCCAGCCTGTCCAGACCCCTTTGCAGAGCCCCAGCCCAGGGATCCAGCCTGTCCAGACCCCTTTGCAGAGCCCCAGCCCAGGGATCCAGCCTGTCCAGACCCCTTTGCAGAGCCCCAGCCCAGGGATCCAGCCTGTCCAGACCCCTTTGCAGAGCCCCAGCCCAGGGATCCAGCCTGTCCAGACCCCTTTGCAGAGCCCCAGCCCAGGGATCCAGCCTGTCCAGATCCTTCTGCAGAGCTTCAGAGCCTGTCCTGATCCCTCTGCACAGCCCCAGCCCAGGGATCCAGCCTGTCCAGAGGACCCACCTGGGCTGGGAGCACTCCTGGAGGTTGCAGCGCCGGCGGATGGGCTTGGGCTTCCTGCTGGTGTCACAGAAGCTCCTCTGCACCATGCGGCTGTCGCTCCTGCGCCGGCAGCCGTACTTGGTGTACTGGATGCCTGGGCAGGGGGTGGGGGGGCCATCAGGGAGGGGTCCCACTCAGTCCTTCTCCTGCAGCCCCACCGGGTCACCTGCCCTCAGGTGTCACTGGTCAGAGGGGACCAAGCAGGTGCTTCATTCCTGAGGATGCTCAGGTGGGTGCTGGACCTCCTGGGGTCAGCCTGGTCCAACCACTAACCCAGCCCTGCCAAGGCCACCACATCCCTCAGCACCACATCTCCAGGGCTTTAAAACCCTTCCAGGGATGGGGAATCCACCCCTCTCCTGGGCAGCCTGGGCCAGGCCCTGACAACCCTTTGGGGGAAGAAATTGCTCCCCATGTCCAACCTCAACCTCCCCTGGCACCACTGGAGGCTGTTTCCTCTTGTTCCACCACTTGTTACTCAGGAGAAGAGCCTGTCCTACCTTGGTTCAACCTCCTCTCAGGCAGTTGCAGAGCCAGCAGGTCTCCCCTCAGCCTCTTCTTCTCCAGGCTGGACACTCCCAGCTCCCTCACCCACTCCCCCTCACACTTGAGCTCCAGCCCCTTCCCCAGCTCCCTTGTCCTTCTCTGGACATGTTTCAGCTCCTCCATGTCCTTCTTGTCATGAAGAGCCCAAAACTGACCCCAGGATTGGAGATGCCTCCTCCCCAATGCCCAGCACAGAGGGACAATCCCTTCTCTGATCCTGCTGGTCACCACCAGTGCTGATATAAGCCAGGATGCTGGTGGCTTTCTTGGTCACCAGGTCCACACCTATCTCCAAGGCCAGCTTGAGGAGCAACCACCTGCCAAATCATTACTGCTTGGCTCCAACTGGGCTAAAAACACCCAATAAACTCAAAACTCCCCAAAGGGAGCTGGGTGGACAGAGCAAGGTCTGCACCCCTGACCCAACAATGTCACCTAAAACTGCTCTGCAATCATGGTTTGCAACCATGATCTTGGGGAGAAACCATCTCAAACAGCATCTCCACCTTTCCAAACCAGAGATGTCCCAAGGGCTACCACATCCAAGCATCCTCCCAAGCCTTCTAGGAAGGGAAAGCTACCTCCACCACAGGCCTTGGAGCACTGAGACCAGCTCTTGAGGGCCCACTCATAGGAATCCATCTCCAGGAGCAGGACATTGTTGTTTCCAATCATGGGCAGCAGATCTTCGTGGATGATGTACCGGTACATCAGGCTGCTCCTCACCTCCTCCTCCTGAGGGATGACCTGCAGGCAGGGAGAGGACAACTGGAGAAGGGGAAGGAGAGGAAGGAGTGAAGCCCTGGGAGAAGGAAGAGACCATCAAAGAAAACCAGAAGTGAACACTGACCACATGGTATAGTAGACACAAGGGTAGGAGGAACAGACCCCATTACTACCTCCAAAACCATCAGGAGGGCTCTGAACAAATTCCCTTCAGGAATGGACCTCTTCACTTGTGGAGAAGAGACCCCATCCAAACATCCCACCTCTGCTGGCCTGCCCCTGGCCTCACCTCTGAGCTGCAGGACCACAGTGTGCACCTGAAGCCAGCACTGGCCCACAGGGATGGGCAGGAGCGAAGACCTGCCCTTCCCTGGTGCCTGGGGAACCCAAGCCCTAAGTCCCACCACACCAGTGGTGTCCTTCCATCACCTCCTCCATCCCATCCCAGGTCACCTCTGGGTGATGGTGGGACCCACCAGCCCCTAAGGAGGCATCAGCCAGGCTTACCAGAACACTGATGGCCTCGTGCAGAGGACCAGTGGTTTTCAGGCTCTCCTTGCCATGCTCAGTGGTGTACTCCCACTCCAAGCCCATCTCAATGAACACTTGGCTTTTGGCTTCTTTGCCCTTGGCCTTCAGGATGAAGTCACCCGTGGCTTGGTTCTTCACAGCTGGAGGAGAAAGGAGGTATTTCAACATCATTTCCTCTGGTCACTGCCCTTGAAGGATGGGAATGGCACAAGTGAGACCCTCTGGGTGGGAGCTGTGGTTGTTCAGCCTGGAGAAGCCTCCAAGGAGACCTTCTCATGGCCTTTCAATACTTCAAGGGGGCTTATAAGAAAGATGGGGAAAGACTTATTAGCAGGGTCTGAAGCGGTAGGATAAGAGGTGATGGTTGGAAACTAAGAGGGGAGATTTAGACTAGATATTAGGAAGAAATTCTCTACAGTGAAGGTGGTGAGGCAGTGGCCCAGGTGGCCCAGAAAGGCAGTAGAAGCCCCGTTCCTGGAGTCATTCAAGGTCAGGATGGACAGGGATCTGAGCAACCTGATCTAGTTGAAGATGTCCCTGCTCACTACAGCGAGGTGCACAGAACCACAGAATTGTTAGAGTTGGAAGGGACCTCTAGAGATCATCTAGTCCAAGGACTAGGACTAAGTTGGACGAGATGACCTTTAAAAGGTCTCTTCCCAGCCAAAGGTGATTCCATGAGTTGTCAGAACAGGGCTGAGGACGAGGCAGTGGAGAAGGGAGAGGTGAACAGCAGCTCCCTCACCGATGCTGTGGGATGCTGGCTCCACCTCTTCTATCTGAAGGTGCCTTGCCCCAGCTGGGATCTCAAACATCTTCAAAACACCCGCTGAACAGGAGGGAGGGAGGGAGGATGGAAGGAAGAGAAGGAGCAGGTTCACTCCACTTGGAGACACACTCCCAGGTGTGAACCCAGCTCCCAACCTCTCCAGCTCACCTGGCTGCTTGGGGGTCTTGGCCAATGTGCCCTTCACTGTCCTGCAGTGGGAGTTGTCCCCCCCACAGACCCCACACTTGTCATCCTGCTTCAGGGACCCAACCTCCTTGTCACAACCAACGTGCTGTCACCCGGGGGGGGAGAGAAGACAAGCAGGGGGTTAAACCCCCCCCCATCCCCTTGCCATCCCCACCACGCACACGGGGTGGGCTAGAACATGTGTCCCCGAAGGGGACTAGCCCAGGAGGTGTCTCCTGGGTGGGCAGAGGGTGGGGACAGGGGGGTGACAGCTCCTCACCACGCACTCCCCCCGGACGCAGATGCTGTAGGGGTCTCGGTAGCTGCAGCGGGTCCCATCGTGGACAACCTGGTTCATGAAGACCACGTCCCCTGTCCCCTCTGACTGGCAGATGAGCTCACACTTCTGAGCATCTGCAGAGAAGGAAAACAGCAGAAAGGGGTCTAAAAAACCCAACATACAACCCCAAGGGGGTGTTGTGGAAAGACCTCAGGGTGGGTGAAGAGAGAAAAGCCACCCCAGCTTGCACCCAAAGCTGCTATGGGCCTTCTTGCTCCCTCTACAACTCCCTGAAGGGAGATGGTAGGGAGGTGGGGGTTGGTCTCTTCTCCCAAGGAACTGGAACAAGAGGGAATAGCTTCAAGTTGCTCCAGGGAAGGTTTAGATGGGATGTTAGGAACAATTTCTTCACTGAAACAGTGGTCAGGCGTTGGAACGGGCTGCCCGGGGCAGTGGTGGAGTCACCATCCCTGGAGGTGTTCAGAAAACATGGAGCTGTGGCACCTCAGGAGATGGTCTAGTGGGCATGGTGGTGTTGGGTTGGACTTGCTGGCCTTAGAGGTCTTTGCCAACCTATATGATTCTGTGATGATTTTGCTGCTGAAGAGCCTGTGCTTTCACCCAGCAGACTCAAAGAGTCAAGAGAAGGCAACTGGGAGGGACACACGATGTGACACGGCCATGCCAGACACCTGGCCCCATGCTGGAGGAACACCAAGCCAGGCAGCTGGACCTGGCTCCCACCCAGCAAGAAGGCAGCTCCATCATCCCCCCCATCCCCAGGGAAAACCTCTGCCTGCCAAAGCACCCAGAGAGCAGAGAGCAAACTCATCCCTGAGGGGCTCTCCTCTCACAGGAGGTGTTTCAACCTGGGCTGACCTTCTCAGCCCACCTCTGCTGCACTTCCAGGACAGCAGGAACCAGAGCAACATCTGGGTTTCTCTACACCACACCTGAAGGCAAGCACAAGAGATTGATTTTCAAGCCCAGGCTGATGCTGGCCTTCTTTCAAGCCCAGCTCAGGAGCTTCCCACACCCCAAGGTCCACACAGCTGGCACCATCTCCATCCCACGTCCATGGCCACCATGGGAGAAGAGACCATCTGGCTGCAGCTCCTTGGCCAGGAGCCTGGGTGGCTCACCATGGTGATGTTCATAGGGCAGCCAGGAGTGCTTGCTGTTCTGGTGGGTGTAGTAGGAGTTCAGCTTGGAGCACTGCTGTGCACGGAAGTCCTGGTAGGGCCCTGGGCACTCCTCAGAGCTGCACACCTGGTACTCATAGGTGGGTCCTGGGCAGTGGTGCCCACCATAGGCTGGCCTGGAAAAGAGAAACGGGGGGAGAGAAGAAGGTTGAAGAGTTGGGATGCTGTTCAAACAGGTCACAGGAGCAGATGTCCACATCCCTTCCCAAGAGAGAAGGAGAACTTGGTGGCCCCAGACATACGAGGGGTTGTCACAGCTCCGGCTGCGCCAGCGGACGCCTCCCCCACAGGTCCTGGAGCAGGAGCCAAACTTGGACCAGGAGCTCCAGCCACCATCCTGGCTGTAGGGCTGCTCCGACGTCTTCCAGATGCAGTGACCCTTGAAGCACCACTGGAAGGGAGGAGGAGGAGAAGGTGGAGGAGCTCCATTGGCAAAGCACCAGAGGAAGGTGCTCTTCGTGCTTTTAGAGCCACCAAGGTGATGGAGGGAGGGGAACATCTCCCTGCTGAGGAAAGGCTGAGGGAGCTGGGTCTCTTGAGCTTGGAGAAGAGGAGACTGAGGGGCGACCTCATCAGTGGTTACAAATCTGTTCAGGGCAGTGTCAGGAGGACAAAGCCAGGCGTTGTGCAGTGATGTCCAGTGACAGGACAAGGGACAGTGGGTGCAAACTGGAGCAGAGGAGGTTCCATGTGAATCTCAGGAAGAACTTCTTTCCTGTGAGAGTGACCTGGCAGGTCCTGTTTTCCAGACTCCTGCTCTCTCCATCTAAACCCAGAGGGTCCAGTTCACAGAATCACAGAACCACAGGGGTTGGGAGGGACCTGGAAAGCTCACCCAGCCCACCCCCCCTGCCAGAGCAGGGGCACCCAGAGCACACCACACAGGAAAGTGTCCAGGGGGGTTTGAATGTCTCCAGAGAAGGAGACTCCACAGCCTCTCTGGGCAGCCTGTCCCAGGGCTCTGTCACTCTCACAGCAAACAAGTTCTTCCTGACATTCACATGGGGCCTCCTCTGCTCCAGTTTGCACCCATTGCCCCTTGTCCTGTCACTGGACATCACTGCACAAAGCCTGGCTCTGTCCTCCTGACACTGCCCTGAACAGAT